TGATCTATCTTTCCTAAACCCCCTAGAAATTGTACAAGAGCAGCTGGGAAAACCAGAAGGCGAAAGGGTTTGAGCTGCGGCTTGATTCCTTGACCTTCCTGGCAGCCAAAGCCAAGAGGGACCTGGCAAGCGAGGTGAGTCAGTCTCCATCTCATACAAGAGACCACAGAATCCTATCATTTCAAGTCAGGAAACTCTGGGCAAGTTCTTAATCCATCTGACCCTTAGGGTTCTTATCTGTATGTGGGGATGATACTGATTACCTTACAATGAGGTAATCAGGTAAATGCCTAGTATCCTGCTCACACACATTGGATTCAGTGAACAGTAACTGTTATTAGGAATAATTATATGGTAAAACAATATGCAATAATCCACATTCTGCATTTTCTAGATGAGCTGAAAGAGCCTTGGTGGCACAATGCTTAAGTGCTTAGCTGCTAACCGAAAGGTTGGCAATTTGAACCCACTAGCCCTGGTGGTACAGTGCCTAAGGCATTTGACTGCTAAGCAGAAGGTTGGTGGTTCAAACCCACCAGCCACTCTGCAGAAGGAAGACTGGGCAATCTACTTATATAAAGATTTACCACCTCAGAAACCCAATGGGTTTGTTTTTTCTTTAGCCACTCCATGGGAAGAAAAGACCCAGTGATCTGCTCCCATAAGATTCCAACCTGAGAAACCTTATGTGGCAGTTCTACCCTGTCACAGGGGATCACTATGAGTTGGAGTAACTTTACAGCATGCAACAACAACAACAAACTGAGACACAGAGATTCCCATGAATTTCTAAAGACCTTGTTACCTGTTGATGGCAAAGAGTAAAGGCCCTAATATCTGATAGACTTATTCAAATCCCAGCTCCATCCCTACTAGCATTCTGACTTTAGGCAGGCAGCTTAACCTTTCAAAACCTCAGTTAACCAATGGTGAATTGAGAATAATGGTACCTGCCTTGCAGAACGGTTATGAGGAAATGGAATAAATTAACGTGTAGTAGGTGTTTAGTGCAATGCGGTCTATTTCAAGTTTAATGTAAGATAAGAAGTTAGAGCCAGAATATGACTCAAGCTCTGCTCCCTTCATTGAGAAAGTCTTGGTTAAAAAAAAAAAAAAAA